AGTTGAGGTATACCTATGATGAAAATTACAGGCCTCTCTCATCTTTTTAAGTGGGAGAACTTGCACAATTGGTGGCTGACTAAATACTTTTTTGCCCCACTGTAACTGAAACCAACCCCCCCACTCCAATAAATGTATGCACATGACTTACTTAAATAGTTGCATGCATATAAGTATGTGTATACATAAGTGTGCAAGGAGATATACCCCCCCAAATCCTACCAATAGGATTAAGACCAATAAGAGCAACAAAACACCAATATTAGACAACTTCCACTCAGACTCCAATCCTCCCTTTTTGGTGAAGATTTTGGAAAAAGCGGTGGGGGTTCAACTGCAAAAGATCCTGGATGAAGCTATTTGCTTGGATTCCCTTCAATCAGAATTCAGACTGAGATGTGGAATAAACACAAGTTCTGGTTTCTTTTGTGAATGACTTCTGTATGGACTTGGACAGTGCAAGGGCAGCTATTTTCATCGTTCTCTCTCCCAGTTGCTTTTGATGCTACTGACTATAGTATCTTTCCAGTGCTCTTGAAAGAGCTAAGAAGGAAGAAATGCTTTACAGAACAGTGGTTCTGTTTTTTCCTGAACAAATGGAACCAATTAATAATGATATGGGATGAATACGCATTTCATATCAGACATGCAGGGCTTGGTCCTCTCCTCCACATTATTTAACAGGTACACGAAGGTGCTGGGGGAGGTAATCTGTTGGTTCAAGGTGAGTTAACAATATGCTGATGATAGCCAATTATACCTGTCCACTCAGAGCCAAACAGGAGATGCTGTGGAGATCCTTACTCTGTGACTAAATGCTGTAAAGATCTGGATGGGACAAAACAAAATGAAGTTGAATACTAGCCAATAGTGGCTATTTGCCCAGCCTCCATGTGGTAGTTGATAGTCTAAGGTACATTTAGAGCTGGAGTGGGATTCACACTGTAATCAGCTGAAAATTTCTCCATTATTGGTTAAGAGATACCTTATCATCAGTTCATAAGCCATGAACAAGAGACTAAGAAAGTCTCCCACTTATGAATCTGGGAGATAAACTGAATTCCAAAGGGGAAAAATAATATATTTGTTGATGTTTCTGTAATCATATCCTAACCACTTTTACTAAGTCTTGGTAAAAATATGTCAGGAAAAATCTTGCTTTCTATGGAGGTGGAGCAGCCAAGAACTTCACAAGTGGTTTCCTTGCTGACGTTGGAGAGGATCACATTCTCCTCAAAGGAGTGCATCCATAATTCGGGAGTTCTTCTGAATTGTGGCTCCAGATCAGCAGCTGGAAGCTGCAGCCAGGGATGCTTTTGTCCAGCTTCAGCTGATGCACTATTAACAACCTTTTTTTGAGCAAGAAACTTTGGCAGTAGTCCCTTGTGCCTCCATTACTTCAAAGTTGTATTACTGCAATGCACACTACCTGGGCTACCTTTGAAGACTACCTGGAAAGACTACCTGGAAACTGCAACTGATGCAAAATGTTGCAGCCTGCATGTTAATGAGTACAGCTCATTCACCAAAATAACACCAATTTTGTAGCTATTGCATTGGCTTCCAGTAGGTTTCAGAATACAATTCAATGTGATGGTTTTAACATATAAATTCATACAGGTAAGGTTCCAAGATTCTTACAGAACAGTTTTCTCCAAACTGACTCTGGCTAGTCCATCTGTTCTATTTAACGGGATGTTCTGGTTTCCCTCAATTGCTAAGGTCCCCCTATAACAACATGGAATGCGATATTTGCCATCCTCTGGAGGAAGAATGGCATGGAGTTCTCCAGAACAGCACACATGCCTGGATGAGGATATGTTTTTAGACAGAATGCCTAGCTTACGTATGTTTCCATATCTCCAGTCATTGATTCCCATGCTTTTGTAAATCTTCATTTTAGTTCCCTTAATCTACCAACAGAAAACCTATTTTATTTCATCATTTTAGAAAGTGAATATGAAGCTTTCAATATTACAGTGACAGATTTTTCATTTAGGGTTACCTGTTCTGGAGGTAATTCCATACTTTTAATATAGTCACCGTGTTCTTCTGCATCTTTGATTTCTGGCAGTATAAGCTGCTCAAAATAAGCTTCCAATTGATCATCACAGAACTCTTCATCTCCACTATCATAATCTAATATGGAAAAGAAAGGTTTGCTATTAACACAAATGTTTCATATTTACCACTGACCCCAGGTGGTTGCTTGTTGTTTTTTAAAACTATACATATCCTATTTAAAATCAGCATTTAGCTGCATAAAAACACCAGGGTATATGCAATAATCTGTTTGCTGATACAATACAAAGTCACCATTAGTAGAAATAGTAGAAATTCCCCAGATTTCAACTTTTTATCTCATACCTGTAGAATGTTCCTCCAGGCTCTCAAAGCTCAGTAATTTCTCATTTTCTATAAATCTGGAAAAGCCAGCCTCAGCATTGCTGCCACTTGCTATTCCATTCTGAACAGGATCTAATGAAGCAAACTGCAAACATACATTTTAATAAATTACTTGTTTGATAATCTGAGTTCTAAGAACTCTTAGAAACTAATCTATCAGCAGAAGCTCCCAAGAAAAAGTTATTCCATGTATAAGTTCCATATGGATAAAGGGAGATCCAAGAAAATTAAAATCTTAGATCTATACCACATAAACTAGTAAAAAATATTAAAGAAAGAGAATAAAGCTTATACAGCTTCAGTAGCCAAGATGGAAATCCTGACTTATCAACTATTTGGAATTTTTAAAGTGTCAACAAGTATATGAGTCTACAGGTAGTCCTCACTTAACGACCATAATTGGGACAGGGATCTCGATCATTGAGCAAAACGGTCATTAAGCAAGACACCCATGACTGCTTTGCTCAACGACCGCAATCCAAGCAACCCCAGTTGCGGTTGTTAAGCAATCTCTTGGGTTGTTAAGTGGACAGAGTGAAAGAGCTGTCTGTTGAAGGATTTCAGGTCTGCGTGGAGCTGAAATCCTCCTAGCAGGCAGTCCTTTCACTCGCAAATGTTCCTGCAGCCCGCCAAAGAGTTTCCCCTCCCCTCCCCTCCATGCTGAGGGGAAATCCTTCAGCAGGCTGCAGGAATGGAACTCAAATCCTGAAGATTTCAGCTCTGTTCCTGCAGCCCACAGAAGGATTACAGATCCCCTACATCCTCTCCACTTGGAACCCCTCATATGATCACGGGGCGCTTGGCAAGCAGTCATAAATGTGAGCTGGTTGCCAAGTGCCTGAAATACAGTCATGTGACTGCATGGAGGCACAATGTTTTACGATGGCCGGAAGTGCTTTACTTTCAGGCTTTACAGGCTGTAAAGCACCCTTTCCAAGGCTGTTGTAACTTTGAATGGTCGTTAAACGACTGGTCATAAGTCCAGGATTACCTGTATGGATGCTTTATATATCTAGATGTTTTATATATCTGAATTTCCAAAAAAATTCAACAAAGCTTCTCATCAGAAGATCCTAAATTAGAAGATAAAGGAACAGTCCTCTTATAGATTAGCAACTGACTAAAGGAAACAGAATACAAGTGAAAAACACAGAGGGATTTCCCAAATGTTTGAACTAGGACTAGTTCTGTTTAACTGTTTTATACATGAGCTGGGGTAAGCAGTAAAGTATCCTAGTGTATTAACAACATCTATTCAGGCTCATAAAAAATCAAAAAGGAGCTTTCAAAATGCGATAGACAACAAAATGGCAAATTATTTTCAGTCTACCAAAATATAAAGCAAGCACCAACCCAGAAATGAGTAGCTATGAAATATTTGGGAATTATACTCACTAACTATCCAATTATCAACTTAGTAAGCACCAGCTGTGCTCAGATTTATTAAGAAAAAGATTGAAAAACTGCCTAACAGCATAAAGATGTTATATTAAGATGAACAGTAACATTAAGTTGGAGCAGCAACTTTTGGAATGTTCTATAAAGTTCTTTGATAAAATTCTTTTGGATCATTACAAAGTAAACCAAAGACAACAAGCAAATTAATGGCTTGGTTCAATCCTACATTAATCCATGGTTCTTTTGGTTTTGTCTGAATGTGTTCCATTTCCTAGCATTATGTGTTAATTACACCACATTGTTTTGTTCCTCAAACCATGGTCAAAAAGATCATGGTTTAGCATAATACATAAGCCCAGCCAACCACAGCTAAAATAACTTCCCAGTTAAAAATGGATGAAATATTTGGGGTACTTTAGATTAGAGCACATATAATCAACCTACAGGTCCTTACCTGTCTCTATGCTATTGGATGGATAGAAGAGGTTTTAATTCCCTCATTCCCTGATGTCTGAATAAATATCAGGGAAGGAACAAGTAGCAACATTTATCAGGATTGTTGGTATGGCAGGGAAGACATAAAAGACTAATTTTTCTCCCATCAACAATGTGTGAATGTCCTGGCTTCATTTAATAATCCTATATAGCCTCAAAAGGCTGTAAATGGTACCAAAGTACCTCTTTACCAATCCTAAATATTGCCTATTCCTACCTTAGTTCATTCACAAGGCCCACATAGATGATTACTACTCACATTTTACAACAGCTGTCAAAAATTTGCAGTGTATTCCATTCTAAAACTAAATATTTATGACTACAGATGATACATTATGGGAATTAACCTTCCAGAAGATCTTATTCTGTCTGTCTGTCTCTCTATAAAATTGATGGGCTGTTTTGATATCCTTTCCCCCTCAACTGTTAATGAAAACTCTAACATAGGGATTCTTAAAGCTTAAAAAATGAAGCATTCCATTCACATGTGAAATTTTAGTTCAGTGTGCTTGCCATACAACTCTAATGAAAAGGAATATACAGTGCTCTTGATATCTCAACAAGTACAAACTGGAAATGTGGAATAATCTGGACAGAGCAAAAATTTCTTAGAATGGTTACAGATATTTGTTTAAACACTATAATTGTTCAGAAATGGAAAATGAAATTATAGGACGCAAAGTATACATAGTAAGATATGTACTTTAGCAGATTGTAGAAAAAAGTTACCTGATTCTCATTTTCTTTTTCCAAGGAAACAAATACTCTAGTTGTCAAATCTGAAAGCAAAAGAACCATCTACAGATCCATAAAAGTGATAAAGGTCAATCACTTGTGTTATATTGTTAGTAACAAGTTTTTCTTGCTTTGCAGACAACCACTTAATATAGCACAGTCTGCCTAATAACGTCAGACATGAGTGTTATTTTCTAATTAAGAACTCATAATGCACATGAATCAATCACTCAAGAAAATGTTCTTATTGATTTTATCTTGTTCATGAATTAATTATATTTAGATCCTGCCTTTCCATCCTACAAGACGATCCAGGCAGCTAACAAAATAAAACTGATCAATTAAAATATGCACAAAAATTAAAATCTTATTGTTAATTGGGGTAGTTACATTATTGGGGTAGTTCACAGTTAAATCGTACCTGAAAACATTTGGTAATCTGGGCAAAAATGTCTTATTTCTTAAAAGTGCATTCTGTTTCTCTTTCAACTTCCCCCTTATTAACATTGTGTATACAAATATGTGATATTACTCTTTTAAGTTGACTGTACTTCTGATTATGTAAAGATTCCATCAGTGAACAAGTTTGCAACTAATATGTAAAATAAGCTGAAAAAACTATAAAAGTATTTCTACAACTCAATTTAAAATAGATAAAAGACATAGAAAATAAAAGTTTCTAGCAATGGGGCCAGAGACCAGGTAAGCAACAATGGAAAGAAGGCCCTCTCTCTACCAAGTGAAAGATTTCTCTGGTAGTCATTTCTGACGAATATATTACTGTATTATTAATAAACATTTAAAACTAGGAATAATTTCTGAAGGTCAGATGTTGGAAAATGTTTTTAAGTTGAACAATTATCTTTTCTCCTCTACACATTATTCATTACTACAAGCAATGGTTTTCATGGATTTATATTTCCTTAATGTTTCAGATTACTACAGAGTATCATTTATCCCTAATTATTAGCAATTATTTAAATATTATGTTCAGAAAAAAATCTAACAATTAAAAATTAGTGTAACTGATTCACTGGTTAACGGAAACTAATCAAGGCAATAAATTGCGCAAAACTGCTACTTCAGTTGATATTGCAACATCCACCTCTTGACCCAAGACTTAATAGGCAAACCGTGCAAATTTTTTGGTCTTTTTAGATCCATTTTTATCGTATAGGTGATAATAGCTGACAATAGGAAATTCCACAAGAGATTTTCATACTTTTTTAAAAATCATAAATATAGAGCTCAGTTTAGAGAGACTGAAAATGTAGACATTGCTTATTTTTAAGTGATGCCATTTTGCTTCTAAACAGAAAGAGAACAAGTATTATGATGTATTCCACTTTAAGAACTACAGCTTATGACTGTAATCAGCAGTGAATGTGAGTCTTATGGGAGGGAGGATAGATTTCAGGAGTAAAATGATGCAATAGATTTTATTCCCATTCTGTCCCCATGCCCTTACTCACTATAGCCCCACCCTCCACCTCCATCTCTAGACCTCCTTACTATAGCACCACCTACAACACCTTCAAGATTTATAAATTTCATTTCTGAAATTCCTCAGCCAGCATGGCCACAGAATCTGGAAGACACTACATCTGAAGGACAGCAAGATTGAGAAATACTGTACTATTAATTCCTTCATTGCCTTCTGTTTTCCATGTGTTTATGTGCAGATCAGTAATGCCGCATTACCATCATGTTATATTTCAGAATGATCTCACAGACTTCCCTAATAGTCTCAATTTTACTACTGAATACTTTCCTGATGCTCTTCTGCAAACAATTCTATTATATCACTAAATGCATCTGTTTCCATTATGCAGATGTTGGAGTTTTTATTTTAGAAATAAATATTATTTTGAGATGACTTGATTTTACTTCTAAACTGACATTCAAATAAGTTCACAATTAAAATGAATACAGCATATCTTGGCTATTACACTAATACTTTCTCAAATTAGAATAAAATACCATATTGAATAGAACTTCAGGATGTTGGGTTTGTTGTAGATTTCTTGGTAATGCTAAAACTCTACAAGCAATAGATACAAGTGAAATTGCATACCTTCCAAATGTTTTTCATGGAAGCTATTCTGATTTTTAACTGAGCAATCATCAGTAGAATTTTGGCTCTGTCTTCTCTGCAAAAAATTATATTCATTCTGGTGTGACTCCAACTTAATCTCAGCAGCTTTATCACAGTTTTCCCTGGGAAAGTTAGAATTAAGTTTTTAATCATAAATTTAGATTTAAAAAGCTCAAAAAGCATTGTTTAGTTAAACATCAATGATTTTTTATAACAATAAATCTGTTACTTGTAAATGGTAACACCAGTAGCAAAGTGATTTAGATAATTATACTAAGGCAAATATTTTTAAAAAATTCAGATCCTAAAAACAGAATAGGACAGGCATATTTCTATCTACTAAAAATATGTAATGAACCAATTACTCGTATTATCTACTTTCAGAGTTTCAAAAATAAAATTGAAGACTGTTTTACCACAGAATTGTTTTTCAACTCATTTCTCCTTCAACAAACCATATATTTGGATGATAAATGTACAATTAAAAATTATGCTGCTTAGGAATTACTGTCTAATCTGTGGAAGGCTGAGGTACCACATCTGGAACAAAATCAACAGAGCATCTAATAGGACTTGTCAAAGAAAAAGATTAGTGAATTTGGTAACCATATAATGATGATACTCATAAAAGTTAGACTAATTATATATATATATTCTTTATATATAAATGTTAGTCAAAAGTATATATTAAAATATTAGCCTATTTATTTGAATTAGAATATTTAATAAGAAATTTTGATTAGTGCTTTATAAAACCTATTTATCAAATGCATTTTGAGAATTATGAATAGTGTTAATTTATTCCTAAGATTCCAATCCATAAACAGACATGGTCCTTTGGGGAATGATAGGAAATATTGGGGTCCAACCCATTCTTGTTAATTATGCCAAAATTATGGAGTTTTGCATCATAGAAGGTAACATTGGTTAATATAAATCTTACACAGTTTCCTGAAAGTTAGGTATAAGATTTCTTCTTGGATCTGAGTCAGGTTCACCACCACAGGAAGATGCTAATGTGCCCAAAAATTTCCTTTCAATATAAGAAGCCTGATCAGAAAGTCTGCATAAAAAGAAATAAAACAGTTGTCCTTTATGTTCTCTACTTTGAAAAAAGTTGGTGATTTTTAAGAGAAGTATAAGATTATACTGAAAATTACAGTGAAGGATAAAAATAACCTTCACTTTTTCTAGCCACAAATTTGATTAGCCACCTGTATTAAAAGAATAATGCAGGTTTTTTATTCGTGTATTCAAATATATGCAAAGGCTAAGAGCTTCACCACAGAATTTTAAGAAATCTGGGGATTATCTAGTTCATGCCATAACTCATATGAGATACCACTATATGTTAGAAAAAAGTGTGACTGGCTAGTTAGTGACTTTTTGTTAGGCAAGCTAGTTTACGCGGTTAGCTTATGGTTTAGTGTTATGCAAATTTAGAAATTCAGTATTATTCACTATTGTTCATTTAAGAACAGTGGGTATCTATTTGAACAAGTTGTTCAAATAGATACCCACTGAGACCTTTTGATCAACTGGCAAACTGCTCTTTCTCTTTCAATCAATATTTAGTCAAGATTTGTTTTTCTGAAATTTTCATTCACAATGTCATTCACAATTCAAATATTCATTCACAATTTCTCACTGGACAAAGAGAAATACTGTAATTCTATTTCAATTTTTTTCATGACAGCCTTTCATCTCTATAGCCTGCTATGAAATCTCCCCTTACTCTTCCCCAGTCCAAGCACAGAAGTTGTGTTTGTCATTCAGCAAGGCATACAAACCAGCCAGCCAAGTTTTAGCTTAGCATATTTTAGAAATCCAACCTACACAGTATCTGATTTACTGCCTTATGCAAACTCAGAAAATGGACTTATTTAAATAGACCATAGGCAAGTTAACCCTGGATAAGCTTGTTAGGTAAGCACAGACTATGCTGCAATGGAATATTCTCCTAATAGTTCTTGCCAGTTCAGTTGCATTATTTAACTAGCTCAGTAGGCATTTTATTAAGAAAAATATTTTCAGTATTTTTTAACAGCTATTGAGACTTTGTTTGTGCCATCTTTCTAAAAAGCCATATCAAAATAAAGAGGAATAACCATGCCTTTATTTAAACAGTACATTAGGCTAGAATGTGGTAGGCTAATTTGTGACTATGTCATGTAAATGAAAATAATTGGATTAATAAGATAAACCCTGGTTAAGCTAACAACGGCTAAGCACATTGTACAAATACAGCTCATCATTTGCAGAATGAAAAGCTAGGTCTGGAAACACTTTAAGATTCAGAAATTAACAGCCATGAATAACCTTTCAGTTTACACATTGTTGCCTATAATTCTATTAAGTGCCTTACCTGCCATGAGAACCAGTTTTTTGTCTGGTTTCAGTGGAAGCAGCAACTGGAAGACCAAGATGTGATGGAAGTGTGATATTGTCTAAAATTTCATTGGTATGACTAGCTAGAGAGTTGACCAAAACACTTGGAAATGTCTCATCCCCAGTATGTCTGAAATCTTCCATATTACTGTTCTCTCATAATATCCGAAAGCTTTAATACAAACATAAGCAAGAAGGACATTTATAATTTTATAAATTTTAAATATATAATTCTAATATCGCTATATATCTACTGCATTATATATTGCTACTTTTTCTACTGCATTATATATTTCTGTTACCTAAATGGTCAATGTACAAGAAAGTGATATTTCATAAAACTAAATTAAGTATAATTCTGAAAATTACAATTATACTTTAGTACTATCAACATAAAAATATGTATCAAAAAGGTAGCTTTGTTTATCTGTTATAGCAACAAAAAATATAAAAATCAAAGCTTATGTTATAATAAATGCAACTCATTTGATTTCTTTCTCATTGAGCACCACTGTCACCAATTATTGCTTCTCTTTCAAAATGTATCCTAAAAAGTCTAAAAGCAAAAGGAAGTTTGAAGGAAAACAAAAGTTATACAAAAAGTGGTTTCAGAACATAAGAACAGGCTGACTGAAATGTAGCTACACCAGCCATTGCTCACATAAGTAATTTCCTACGGATTAAAATTACTGGAAAATATAAAGTTATGTAATGTTAATTCTTTCCCAGAACAATATTATCAGCCAGCTTAGTCAGTGTGCATTGCAGATTTTAATTTTAGCTTTTAATGCTGATTATCATGAACAGTTTTGTTTCAGAGAGTCATCTGAAGGGAGCTAAGGAAGGGGAAAAAATGCTTTTAAACCAACCTACCTTGAGCAACTAGTGAAACTGCCATCAATTACTTTGGTACAGAAAAAAAATGAATGTGCTATTCATACTATGCATACCAGGCTAAGCAACCTATTGCCTCCCTAACATTTAGGCTTCAATTCCCACCAGATCCAGCCAACATCTCCAAAGGCAAGGGAGCGCAGAAGCTGTGGTCCACAACCAAGGGAGGGAACTAAATTGTCCACTGCTGTCTTCTACCAATAAAACATCCAACTGAAGTCCTTCAACAATTTTAATTGCATAGTATCACACATTTCTGTAAAAACAAAACTAATGTATATCTTAAACTTGTAACAACTCATTAAACAAAGGTCTTTTTATGGCAGGCACATGAAGAAAGACTAGTCCACAAAAGCTTATACCATAAGATTGTATTCATCTTTGTTACAGATTTGTTAAAGACTCTGCCCTAAACAGACAAGTAGATCATCACAAGGCACACCCACCTGTTCACAATAGTTCAATTATATCATAACTTGACAACTTAGGCTCTAGTGACCAGGTCTCTGGCCTCAGTATGCATAAGCAGACCTACCCAGCAAAGTGTTACAGTGTTTTTAACCACTTGCAGATTGTAAGGTCAAAGCTGTATTTATTCCCTCCAGATACGACAGGCCTCAACTCTATTTCTAGCCAATGGCTCGTCGCCCGATACATCTAGAAAGCACCAGGTTGGGAGCAGCTTGTTATTCGGTAAGTCACAGGGCTCAGTGTTGGTGAAAGTTTACCCAGTGTTGGTGAAAGTCAGAAGCGGCACTGCTCCCGTTAGGGTGCGGAAAGGCACACAACTAACTGACGCTTGGGATGCTCACAGGTGTAGAAAAGCCCTATGCGCCAAACACGCTGGGACGGGGACAACCGTTTCATCTCCGTCCCATGGTAAAGGCTGGGGGCCAAGAGCTCTTCCCTGTCAACGAGCGAAAGGTTCCTGAAGAGAGTCCAGCTCTTCTCCCGCCACCTCAGCGAGCAGCTGGCACGGGAAACGGCCCCTCAAACTGCCGGTACCAACGCGGGTGGAGCGGGAAAAGAGAGAAACTAAGCTCCGAGCGCCTCGCGACGAAGAACGGGAACTGACCTGCCTTCGCCCCGCCCTCCCCCCGTTAGCCGCGTTCAGGACGTGCAAGAAACAAAGCGCTCACCCGAACTCCAGGCGAGCGCAACAGCCGCACGAGGCGGGCAACTCGAGGCACGGGAGACACAGCTCCAAGCGTCTCAGAAGTCCCCAGTCCCACCACCCGCGAACTCCTTAACAGAAAAGAAAAATAGCTCTTTCTCCTCCCCCCACCCACCCCGTCTTCTTCCCGAGACGATGCGCACGCGCACCTTCCGTCCTGGCGCCCGGGAAACCCGCTCAGGATTCCGTTTAAGAAAAAAGGCGGAGAGCAGAGGCGCAGAGTAGCGAACGCTATTGGATTATGAGATCACCCAGAAAGGGCGGGCTGCGGCCCTTTGATTGGACGAAAGGGAGTGACGCGCTTGCTTTCAAATGGCCTGGGCAAGGGATGAGTAAGATTGAATCCGAAGGAAGCGGTGATTGGTAGATATTTTATTAAAACTCAGAAAGGATATGCTGTGCAATAATCCCGATTCACATACGCACGGGACAATAATGATGTTGGGGAGATGATGAAAATTACACTACATTTGAAAGACGCCAGTTTGGGAAAGGTTGGTAGGGTTCACCTAAAATAGCGAAAGTACAATAATTACATTAGTTCTGTTGCACCGAATATGCCTTAATGATATTTACCATGCGACAAAAATACCGTTATAGACTTGCTAATTGGTTTTGATATATTGCTATAGAAACACTCTGAGGTGAGATGGAAAAGGCTGCAGATGCATTATTGGTATGCACAGGCCTATTAAAGATGTCTACATACTATATTGGCTTCAGTAGCAGCTAGCAATAAGATGCCAGCAATTTACTGAGTAGGCCCAGTTCTTCAGCAGTTGAGAATGAATCCCTCAGTTCACCTTACAAAGACAGGAATGTGGCACACTTGTTTCTTGAAGCTAATCTGTTCCTCAGCCTCTGGCAATATTATTTTTCTTTGGATTTTGCCCTTCCCCTCCCATGTATGCATGCTGGCAGGATTCACACTATACATTAAATCAAAGCAAGACGTTCCATTATGGTTTACTAGATATAAACCCAGTTAGACTAAAAAATGCCACTTCATTTTGTCATGTAGAGATGCCACATATACTACTTAGGAATGCAAAAATCTGGACAATTACTGGATCACAGCAGAGAGTCTTTGCTACTATCTACCAATTGTCCAAATTTCTGCAGCCTAATATTTGTCCAGCTTTTTGCAGTCCCACTACTCTCACCTGTAACTCCTCTTGATTTAAAGGCTTTCTAGCACCTCCAGGCAATTTTTTTTTTCAAACATGCCAATGGCCATTGAGTGAGATAAAGCAGCAAATAAGGTAAGGTACTGTACTTAGTATAAACATAAAATCTTTAGTAAGATACAACTCAACATAATTTCCCAAACTTTTCCTTAAACTTTTTGAAGTAGATGAAAGCAACACACTATATACGTTCTCAATGTTTTATTGATTTATTTTCATATAACTGTAGTGGATATCATTACACAATGAGAAAATTTGCACAAATAACAAATATTCCTATTTTGTTGTAGGGATGCGTATAAGTATTTTATTTTTCAACTCTTTCAGGAAATTGCTAAGGAATGTGATGACCTAAAAGACTGATTCTTATGCTAAAAAATGTAAAGGGTTTTTTTTACTTCTACACTATAGGACAGGGTTTTCTTCAATCTGTATTCAATTTTAAGAAATTATTTTCAAACACAATGCACAATACAAAGAGAATATTAACAGATTACAACAAACTGAATATTTTTAAATGATAAAATACTCTGTTTCACATAATTTATCCTGAATACTGCATTAGATTGTTAAGAGTTAATTTAATAGTAATAAACTAGCATTTATTATCTGCAGAAGAACTAAACATAGTAGATTCAAAATACTATAGTTTGCATTACAGATCATACCTTTAAAAACCCACTCTGAATTCTGGTTGGGAAAAAAAATGTAAAAAACCAAACAAACAGCCAGGAGAAATGGAAGTGTTTTTTAAGTATGTAAGGCCTTTAATACAGCTTTAAATATGCATTAAACCCCTTCATGTTCACGTAAGAGATTAAGAGGTCGAGAGATATATCGTCTGCGAGGGTGAGGATACTGGAGATTGGCAGTGTCAGCATCGCAAGAGTGCTCTATCAGAGGAGGAAGAGGAGGAGGAGGAGGAGGTGGTGGTGGTAAGAGCTGGGCATAACTGGACCATCTTGATCCAGCCCATGGGGAATCCAGAGGGGAAAAAAAATACCTGAAAACAATTCAGACAGGAACACCACACAGAAGGGAAAAACAGAAAGAATAGTAGTAAATACAAGAACCAGAGAGGAGAGACACATGCTGGGACAAAAATGAAAGAACCAAAATCAAGTTCTCAGCTCAAATTACAATCAGTTTTTAAAGTCTGGAAACTATTCTGAAGGAAAATGATCATAGGAGACAACAGAAAATATGCCTTACATTCATTGTAAAATGAATAAATTACATGTAAGTTAACTGTTTCTGAACTATCACATGTCTTCTCATTTATTCCTACAAATTAAGCTATTAATCACTGTTTTAAGGTAATTACAGAAAAACAGGCACAAATTATTTATGCACATTGGTCTGCTGTATTTGCATCCAATTTAGATTAACTCTACTCAGATGAATAAATCAAACTTAAAGATAAACTGTTTTTACAATGTTAGATTTTCACAATATACAGAGTTCTTTTTCCATTGCAATAACAGTCTGTGTGCTTATATACTGTACATCTCCGGAGAAAACACGAGATAACACTTCTGAATTAATGGCTTAAAGGATCATTCCATGTCACTTCTTATGACTTACCCGTAATAGAAGAAAACTTTGTAATCTTTATAATCTTTGGAAATGTACATAAATTTACAGAACAGAATAGTAAAGTTAGTAAATTTTGAGACAAGACATATTTAAAGCCACACTGACATGCCACTATATAAAACAAGGCATTAACTGAATGTTTGTACTAGGACACCACTTCAGTTTATTTCAAGGCAACAACTGCACTGCACAGAGCAGGGTGTAGATACTCTGTAATGCAGGAACTGGTTGGGACCACAAGATAATTCCCATACCAAATTAATATCATAGAACAAACATTCGCTTGGAATAGATTTCTACCACAAAACCAATAAGAGGAAATCTTATTAATTATTGCATGGAATCATGCCACTGGAACATGCAAATATCAGGTATGATCAAATCATTCTTATCAAGACAACTAAAAGTATGTTACTAATAGATTTGTGATTTTCATCTGAAGTAGTAGTTCTGAAACAATACCAAAATAATTTGATACCAACTCTACAGCTGCCAAATTACAATGTGCCCACATTGTTTACGACTAGTTATGTTGTATATTACAAATTCATGAGCAAAACTGTAATTGTTAAGAGTCTATGTGAACACTTCAAAATGCCAAACAAAATTAAAATATTCAAAACAATTTTAATGAAAAACAGTTGCTTCAATTGCTTTACATTAAGGATTTATCTCCTAACAATCTTAGAAAGCAAGGACAATAATCCTCTTTACATTAGTGAATTCCGTCTTTCTCCCTCAATGTGTGCTTTTGAGGGGAGGAAGTGGAATGCATAAGAAGGCTCTTCCTGTTACTTTTTTTTGTTACAGATTCCAACAAGATCATACTGTGCTGGCTACTAAGTACATATATAGCATTTTTTAAAAGAGTGTTTTGATTTGCATTTAGTAGTAGACAGACTGCTGGTGTCTTTGGAAGAGATCAAACGGCGATGGGGAGGGGGAAAATATCGCTTTCCATTCCTGTGTGCATGCAACAAGCAGTAAAACAGCAAAGTTACTCCAGTTAGCTTGGTATCAGCTGTGCTTTCTGTTAAAAAGGACATAATACAAATGGAGAAGGGAAAATGCATAACAATTTTAGACACACATGGTTATAAGCACAATAAGAATACTGTAGAGCAGTAGTTGATAGTTTGATTAATTCTCCAATCACTTTTCAAACTAATTATTTTTCTGTTAAGTATAAAACAATTACTTTGATCTTCTAACACATTAGTAGTGTTACTTGAATTGATTAACAAAGTACCAAAGTACCAAAACACTGAGCCCTAGAACAAGTAAAATCTATCAACTTGTTTCTAAAAGCTAGAATTTACAGTCGTCTTCTCATAAAATCTGTAGGAAATAAATTACAGTGTAGCACTTTGTTTTACTTTTAAGCTGTTATCAAAAAGCAAATTTAGGTTTTTTCACAATAGTGTGTATGCATTTCTTTGTTACAGCCTTCCTATTCTCCCTAAAATCATTTATTCTGAAACAAGACCTTTGCACAATCTATAAACAAGTATCCTGCTTAATTTAAACTGGTAGTAAGACCGGTAAGCAGTTGAAGAACAGTTTAATGAGCACAAGGACAGAAAGTGAAAATGTCTAAGAGCTTGTTCCATTAGTAAGCTTTTATTTTTTCTTATTTTTCTTATGGAAATATATACAAAATATGGTATCAAGCTATCCTGAATAATTGCAGCCCCAGAGCTTCTTCAGGCTCATAAGTAGCTGTAGGTACTTTTATTTTTCTCTTTCCTCATGTTTGCTCAAACTCCTCCATTGTGACATAATATACTACAAGGGAATCTATAGCTAGAATATGGAAATGTTACTATAGACCAATTGTCTTGTGTCCTATGTTTAGCACCTGCCTCTTAGAAAGCAACTGAGAAAGCAAATACAGGGAAAATTGTACACATTAGCACAAAAAAGATTATGAAATAAGGGGTGTATTTGTCTAAAGAAATGCAGCTGTATTTTCTGAATGCTATAGAAAACTGCTTGGTCACTTAGCTTCATCAAAAGAGCATACTGTATGCTACCACCATATTTAACAATACCTTAATTTTATAAAATATCTCCACCTGTAATTGTATAGAAAATGGTAATAAATCTATCACACGTGATCTGTATTGTGTCTATCAAAAGTGGCTATATCCAATTCCAATGGCAATCCTAAAAATAAGCTACGGAATAAATAAATAAGCTACGGAACTCATCTACTGAAAGTACTTGAACAAACTGGTTCTTAAGTAAAGAACAGAACTCAAGGAAGAAC